CGAGATCACACCACTGTACTCCAGCCTGGGGGACAGAGCAAGACTGTCGAAAGAAAGAAAGAAAGAAAGAAAGAAAGAAAGAAAGAAAGAAAAGAAAAGAAAGAAAGAAAGAAAGAAAGAAAGAAAGAAAAGAAAGAAAGAAAGAAAGAAAGAAAGAAAGAAAGAAAGAAAGAAAGAAAGAGAAAGAAAGAAAGAAAGAGAGATTATATGGAGCTGGGCATAGCGACTCACACCTGTATTCCCAGCACTTTGAGAGGGCTAGGTGGGAGGATCATTTAAGCCCAGGAGTTTGAGACCAGCCTGAGCAAAATAGTGAGACTTCATCTCTATTAAAATAGTAATAATAATAACCCAGTGTGGTGGTGCGTGCCTGTAATCTCAGCTACTTTTGAGGCAGAGGGAGGAACATTGCTTGAACTCACGGAGGTCAAGGCTGTAGTGAGCCATGATGACCTGGACGACAGAGTCAGACCCTGTGAAAGAAAGAAAGAAAGAGAGAGAGAAAGAGAGAACGAGAGAGAGAGAAAAGAAAGAAAGGGAAAGGAAAGAAAAGGAAAGGAAGGAAGGAAGGGAGGGAGGGAGGGAGGGAGGGAGGAAGGAAAAGTGTTACATGTAAGGCCTTACTTATCTAGGCATAGCCAACCCCTTCTCTTGTCCAGATGGGGAGGATATAAAGGGTGATAACACCATTGCACTCCAGCCTCGGTGACAAGAGTGAAAATCCATCTCAAAAAAAAAAAAAAGAAAGAAAAGAAAAAGGGGGTGAAGCATATCATGTTATTCATCTGGAGTCAGTGGTTGCTGCTGTCAACTGCCTTGGCATCCCCAGCCTCCTGGTCTCCTCTGGGGTAAAACTTCATCTGTTCAACTCAGGAGACTGGCCAAGGTGGTACAATCCAAGGATATACCTCAGGACCCAGAAGGCCGAGTCCCCCAGGACCACCTCAGCCCTGTATGGATGGGGCGTCTTTTATTTCTTTTTTTTTTTTTTTTTGAGACAGAGTTTCGCTCTTGTTACCCAGGCTGGAGTGCAATGGCGCGATCTCGGCTCACTGCAACCTCCGCCTCCCGGGTTCAGGAAATTCTCCTGCCTCAGCCTCCTGAGTAGCTGGGATTACAGGCATGCGCCACCATGCCCAGCTAATTTTTTGTATCTTTAGTAGAGACAGGGTTTCACCATGTTGACCAGGATGGTCTCTATATCTGGACCTCATGATCCACCCGCCTCGGCCTCCCAAAGTGCTGGGATTACAGGCTTGAGCCACCGTGCCCGGCGTCTTTTATTTCTACAGTTTCTCGTCTCCACACCAGCAGAGAGGAGCGCACAGGACCCTGCAGGGCTGGACCCTACAGGTGTGGTGGCGTATCCCTGTAATCCCAGCTACTCGGGAAGCTGAGGCAGGAGAATCGCTTGAGCCTCACTGCAGAGGTTGCAGTGAGCCGGAACGTGCCGCTGCACTCCAGCCTGGGCAACAGAGTGAGACTCTGCTCAAAAAAATAAAAGTAAATAAATAAAACAAACTTAAGGAAAAATCTGTCAGGAAACAGGATTGAAGGAAGGAAAAGCAGTACCTCTTGCCTTTTACCTCTTATAAAGTTGAGTATACTCCAAATAGGAGGTATGGATTCACTTCTTTTGAGTGTTTGGCTGCCCTATGCCTACTGGCATCTCTGAACCTTTCATCCCTGGATTGAGTGATCCCTGGATTATGGGGACTTGAACTAACTAGAAATCTTGGAGCATATATATCCTCAGCAGGTAAAAAGGGCATAGCCTCTGCCAACTAACAAGCCTTGCCATCCTTTTTGGCCAGGAGATTAGGTGTAAATCAAGGTTTTTGAAGAAAGCCTGCACTGTCACCTTGCTGGCAAAGACCTTAGGAAGTGCAGTCATGCACCTCATTTCCGTTTCTGTGTCCCCATATACAATGGTGTCCCCATGAGATTATAATGCGGGTGAATCACTACTCCTGTCATTCCAGCACGTTGGGAGGCCGAGGCGGGTGGATCATTTGAGCCCAGGAGTTTGAGACCAGTCTGGGCAATATGGTGAAACCCTGTCTATAAAAAATACAAAATAAGCCAGGCATAGTGGTGCCTGCCTGTAGTCCCAGCTACTTGGAAAGCTGAGGTGGGAGACTCACCGGAGCCCAGGAAAGTCGAGGCTGCAGCGAGCCATGGTCGTGCCACTGCACTCCAGCCTGGGCAACAGTGAGACCTTGTCTCAAAGAAAAAAAAAAGATTATAATGCCTAATGCAATATTTTTACTGTAGCTTTTCAGCTTTTCTATGTTTAGATATGTTTAGTACAAAAATGCTTACCATTCTGTAGGCCGGGACTGACTGGTGAGCAGGTCCCCGACCCCATGACACCACCCCACCCGGCCTGGGGCCGCTTGATGGAGCAGGAGTGGCTCACTCCAGGCAGCCAGCGTGGGGGGTGAGGCTGCCCTGGAAGGAGTTGGGGCCTGAGAGGGGTCCAGCCTCCCTCTCCTCAGCTTGCTGGCCAGGCCCCTGCTTCCCCGCTCCCCCTGCCTAGCCGCCCCCGCCCAGTGCGACCTCTGGCCACCTCTGCCATGTTCATCAGATGAATTTTTCTTTTTTCTCTTATTTTTTTTTGAGACGGGGTTTCACTCTTGTTAACTAGGCTGGGGCGCAATGGTGTGATCTCAGCTCACTGCAAAAAAAAAAAAAGAAGATAATGCCGAGTGCCTGCTGCTATCTACAGCTTGCCTTCTTCCTTTTTGTTTTTTTTTTTTTTCATTGTTGTTGTTTGGAGACAGAGTCTTGCTTGCTCTGTGGCCCAGGCTGGACTGCAATGTCACAATCTCAGCTCACTGCAACCTCCACCTCCTGAGTTCAAGCAATTCCCTTGCCTCAGCCTCCCAAGTGCTGGGATTACAGGTACCTGCCACCACGCCCAGCTAATTTTGTGTATTTTTAGTAGAGATGAGGTTTCACTATGTTGGCCAGGCTGGTCTAAAACTTCTGACCTCAAGTTATCCACCCATTTCGGCCTCCCAAAGTGCTGGAATTACAGGCGTGAGCCACTGTGCCCAGCCACATGCTGTGAGTTTTTAACGAAATAACTTCACCCATCCAACTGTCTTGAAATTCATTCCTTTGCTGATGCCCAAGGTTGGACAGATTTGCACAAAGTGGCTCACAATTCTACTGTTGAGCATTTCGTGGAAGTAATCAGAAACCAGGAATTTGTGTTGTTACAGCCAGTGAAATTGCAAAGCTCTAGGCTAGCGATGACACGAACATCCCTGATGATGAGACAATTTTGAATGCACTTCTTACTTGGGCCCGTCATGATTTGCTACAGACAAAGATCAAAGCAAACTTTTGGCTTATATTGGGCCACCTCTTCTTGCACCACAGTTCCTGGCAGACATGGAAAGTAATGTACTTTTTGGGGATGATATAGAATGTCAGAAACTAATTATGGAAGCAGTGAAACCATTCATTATCAGAGAGACGACCATGGTAGAAAGTCCCCAGACAAAACCTAGGAAGTCAACTGTTGGTACATTCTTTGCAGTTGAGAGAATGGATTCAACAAAAGGAGCAACAAGCATTGAAAAGCGTGATCTCTGTACAAATGTGTGGACTCCAGTAGCAAATATGAATGGGAGGAGGCTACAGTTCGGGGTTGCAGTGCTAGATGACAAACCGTATGTGGTTGGGGGAAGATATGGACTGAAGACTTCGAATACCACAGAGTGCTACAACCCCAAACATAGTGATGCCACCTATGTCCACACATAGACCTGGCCTTGCTGTGGCTGTACTGGAAGGTCCCGTGTATACTGCAGGAGGGCATGAAGGCTGGGGCTCTCTGAATGCAGTGGAAATCTGCAAAAAATCTCCTAATCACTTATTAATAGGACTGACGGGAGGATAATAGATAGCTATGGTGACTTCATGTGAGATTGTTCAGGCCACTCCACATAGTGCACCGATTAGTGCACATTTTGAACTAGACGCTCATCTTGATCAAAGAATAGACAGCTAGGCTTGATGTGGCTAATATAAACAGGAGGCTTATGTTAAGATTAATTATAGAGAGTGGAGTGTAGGGAGAGGGATTCTTATGAGTTCAGTAATAGTGCTAGATTTGAAGCAATAATGTATGGGGGGTGTATTTCTATACATTGTCGTACATTATACAACAATGTGTACAGAGTTTTATTGCATCTGTGATTTTTACTGCCGAGTGCCCCCTGACGTCCTGGTGGTGGTGTCCCCACTGCTCCCAAAGCTCCCAGGCTCCTGTGTCTCTTTCTCCCAGTTCCTTCCTAGCCATACTTCCGGCTCGATTCGCCTGTGGATAGACCCAGTCCCTACTTCTAGAATCCTCCAGGGATAATTCTCATTGCCTCTTGCTCATTCTACACCCTGCAAAGCCCCATTCATCAGGTTCTGCAAGGAAAGTCAGGCCCTGGGAATTCCCATGCATAATCCCTTCTCAGACAGGGTGTCTGTGAGGGGGCACCACAGGGCACAGACACCCGTGTCGGGGGAGACAGTATGGTCCAGGCTGCTCTGCCTTTGCCACGGGCCTCTCCCCAGCCTACTCCTGGGCCTCCTTAGAATGCTTGCTGCTGTGAGAATTGCAGGCTCCCTGGCCTTGTAAGAATTGAAGGTTCCCTGGCCTTATGACAACACAAAGGGAAACAAGAAGTTCCAGAATACAGGGCCCTGGCCCAGATCAGAGACGGCACAGGGACGGGGCCCTGGCCAGACACAGGCCCAGGTCTGCAGCTGGCCAGTTGTGGCTGTGGTGCCTGGCATTGTCTCAACATGGCCCTGGAGCTCTACATCGACCTGCTGTCAGCACCCTGCCGGGCCGTCTACATCTTCTCGAAGAAGCATGACATCTCATTCAACTTTCAGTTTGTGGATCTGCTGAAAGGTCAGCTCCCACTGCTGCCCAGCAGGTCTGGTCTTGGGGGGAGGCAGGGCACACAGCTTGGGGCTTTTATTTTTTCCTTTATTTTATTTATTTATTTTAGGAAGATTCTCGCTCTGTTGCTTTGGTTGTAGTGCAGTCGTGCTATTTTGGTTCATTGCCACCTCCAATGGGTTCAAGTGATTCTCCCAGCTCAGCCTCCTGGCAGCTGGGATTACAGGTGTATACCACCACACCCGGCTAATTTTTTGTAATTTTAGAAGCGATGGAGTTTCACCATGTTGGCCAGGCTGGTCTTGAACTCCTGATCTCAAGTGATCAGCCTCCAAAGTGCTGAAATTACAGGTGTGAGCCACATCACCCAGCCTGACTGGGGCCTTTCTGAGAAGCAGAGACAGAGACAAGGGAGTCCCCCTAGAGGTCTGCAGGGAAGGAAGAGAAGCCAGGGGGCTTGTAGGCTGCATCCATGTCTAGCCTACCTTAGCCAGTCCCCACTAATGACAGTCCCCATGCCAGAGATGAACAGGCTCTTCTAGGGGAAGGGGGAAGGAAGAGCAGCTGGGACTCCCTGGGACTCTCACTTCCTGGTGGGAGTCTAGGACCTTGTGAACACAGCACCTGTCTGTTGGCAGACGGGGCAGAAGTGCACAGTCTGTCTACACCCATCCTCCCCCGTGTTCCAAATGGCTCAGGGCTCCACTGACCCCTAGTGAGGGTCAGAGGGGTGGGTTCCAACTCCATCCCGGGCACACAGGGGTTCCAAGAGTTCAGCCTGCAAAAGCAGAAGCCTTTGGAGCACAGAGGAAGACACAGAAGCTGTGGAAATGAACAGGGTGCGAGTGGAGCCCTGGAAATGTTTCCAACAGGAGGCAGCTGGTCCAGGAAGAGCTTCAGTTCCTGGCCCCACATCAGGTTCCCTGTTCAGACAACCCTGATTGCATCTGAGGGGCTCCCCTTTGGATGTCCAGCCATGCGCTGGGCCCAGCTTCCTTAAAGCCAGGACAGAGTGAGGGTGATGGGTGCGGGGCTGGGACCCAGGCCCTCAGGGCTTCAGGTGATTCAGAGGCTGTGGCTGCAGATCCTGCTTTGTGGGTGGGCACTGGAGGCCTCCAGCTTCTGGGCCAAAGGGTCATCCTGGTCCTGGGACACAGGGAGGAGGCACGGGAGTCACCAGCCCTAGAGTGGGGCAGGCTGGGAGCCAGCAGTTCTTATCCCGGTCTGATTCTGCCACTGCCTTGCCCTGTGACCTGGGGTGAGCCGCGATGTCCCTCCAGGCCTCAGTTCCCTCTTCTTGAGAAAAGAGGGAGGCATTTGTGTCTCTGGGAGTCTCAGTTCTCTCTCCCCTGGAGTCCCACAGCCTCAGATCTTCGCTGCTCCTCCCAGGTCACCATCACAGCAAAGAATACATTGACATCAACCCCCTCAGGAAGCTGCCCAGCCTCAAAGATGGGAAATTTGTCTTAATTGAAAGGTGAGTCTTCCCCAGGGCCCTTGCACTGTCTGTCTCTGCTCTTCCTGGGAGACTCAGTGGGAGCATCTGTCTATTTACCACACTCACAGGCACACTAAAGTTGAGTGAATGCTGATGAACAAGGGTCATGATGAACCCCACAGACCCACCGCCTAGCTGCCAACTTGGGGTCCATTTTACATCAGTTCTATTCCCCTGCCTTCTAGACACCCCACCATTTCATAATGTCTACGGGCCAGCTCATGTCTATAATTCAGTACTTTGGGAGGCTGAAGCAGGTAGATGGCCTGCGCTCAGGAGTTGAAGACCAACCTAGCCTGAACAACATGGCACAACCCCATCTCTACAAAAATACAAAATGTAGCCAGCGTGGTGGCCCACACCTGTCATCCCAGTTACTCAGGAGGCTGAGGTGGAAGGATTGCTTAGGTGGAAGTTGCAGTGAGCCACGATTAACGTCACTGCACTCCAGCTTAGGCGACAGAGTGAGACTCCATCTCAAAAAATAAAAATAAGTAAATAAATCAATAAATGTTTAGAAACATACCTCTAAGAGGTAAGCGTTCTTAAAAAAAAAAAAGGCTGGGTGAGGTGGCTCATCCCTGTAATACATGCACTTTGGGAGTCTGAGGCGGGAGGATTGCCTGAGGTCGGGAGTTTGAGACCAGCCTGATCAACATAAAGAAGCCCCCTCTCCACTAAAAATACAAAATTATCTGGGCCTGGTGGCGCACGCCTGAAATCCCCGCTACTCAAGAGGCTGAGGCAGGAGAACTGCTTGCATCCCAGAGGCAGAGTTTGCGGTGAGCCGAGATGATGCCAATGCACTCCAGCCTGGGCAACAAGAGTGAAACTTAAATTTAAAAAAAGCAACAGGCTGGGCATGGTGGTTCATGCCTGTAATCCCAGCACTTTGAGAGGCTGACATGGGAGGCTCGCTTGAGGCCAGGAGTTCAAGACAACAGTGAACTCTGATTGCACCACTGCACTCCAGCCTGGGCTATGATAGAGTGTAGCATCACTACAATACCATTAGGATACCTAATGAAATTAACAGTAATTCCTAGATTTTATCTAACATTTGGTGCCTGTTCAAAACTCTCTGATTGTCTCCTAAATATTTTCCTGGCAGTTTGTTTGGATCAGGTCCGAAGGAGATCTGAGTCTTGCAGCTTGTTGCCGTGTCTCTCCTCCACTTTTAATCGATAGCTCTCTCCATGCCCTGACCTTTCCACCTTGGCAGGGCTGCTGTGATGATAAAGGAACCCTTGTCCTGTGGAGGTTCCCATAGCAGCCGTCAATCAGCAAGGCCTAGGACGTCCCCTCCAAAGCATGGCTCCCCCCCGCCCCGTCCCCTTCCCTCACTCTGATGCATGTCTCCCCTCCGTCCCATCCCCTCACTCTGCTGCGTGTCTCCCCCATCCCCTTCCCTCACTCTGATGCGTCTCCCCCCCATCCCCTTCCCTCACTCTGATGCCTGTCTCCCCCCCATCCCCTTCCCTCACTCTGATGCATGTCTCCCCTCCGTCCCCTCCCCTTACTCTGATGCATGTCTCCCCCTATCCCCTCCCCTCACTCTGATGCATGTCTCCCCCACCCCCCCGTCCCCTTCCCTCACTCTGATGCATGTCTCCCCTCCATCCCCTTCCCTCTGTTCCCATGGCCTCTACCCTTCCCAGACACCACAACCTTCCCAATAGTTGCTGGCCTCCCTGTTGTCCATTCTGCCCCCTTGGGCTCACCCTCCATCACACAGCAGAGAGGTGGATCCTTTCATGCCCTGGCTTACATACCGCCTAATCTTAAAGGATTAAGTCTGTAACCTCTCCACATCTCCAGGGGCCATCATCTGTGGCCTCCACAGTGTCTCAGTCTCACCATTCCCCAGTCACCCACTCCCTTCTTCCAGCTGCACCCACCTGCTCTCCTTCTTCAAATTCACCTTGCTCCCCTTACCCTGGTATTTCAGCATGTGCTTTTCTTTGCCTGTTTTTAGAGACAGAGTCTCCCTCTGGTCCAGGCTGGAGTGCAGTGGCACAATCTTGGCTCACTACAACCTCTGCCTCCCATGTACAAATGACTGTCGTGCCTCAGCCTCCCAAGTAGCTGGGACTACAGGTGTGCACCACCACACCTGGCTAATTTTTCTATTCTCATTTTAGTAGAGACAGGGTTTCACATGTTGGCCAGGCTGGTCTCCAACTCCTGCCCTCGAGTGATCCGCCTCCCAAAGTGCTGGGATTACAGGTGTGAGTAAAAATCCGTGACTGGCCTGTTTTTGTTTTTGAAAAAGGATCTGGCTATTTCACTGAAGCTGGATTGCTGTGGTGCGACCTTGGCTCACTGCAGCCCCAAACTCCTGGGCTCGAGTGATCCTCCCTCAGCATCCTGATTCGGCACGTGCTCTTCCCCTTGCTGGCCTACTCTCCTCTACCACCAGCCCCAACTCCTGCTCACCCTGCAGGTCTTCCTCCCTGCCCTTGCTGACTGTCAGACAGCTCTAGTGAAGATCTTTCCCAGGGCTGTTTGGGCTCCTCCTTTCCCTGGAAGCCCTAGCAGTTGGGCCCAGGTCACACTGGGGTGACTGAGTAGGGGCACTCGGGAAGGCAAGAGCAGTGCCCCTGACTGGTCCCTTCCGCAGCGTGTCCATCCTCTCCTATCTGTGTCGCAAGTACAGTGCACCATTGCACTGGTACCCGCCAGACCTGCACACACGTGCCCGTGTGGAGGAGTTTATGGCTTGGCAACACACAGCCTTTCAGCTGCCCATGAAGAGGATAGTCTGGCTCAAGGTGAGCAGGGTCACTTGTGGGGCTTGGGGACAGAGTGTCAGGAAGGCTGGAGACCACTTCCGGCCCTGATCACTGCTGGTGAACTAAAGTAAGTCTCCCTCCCTCTCTGGGCCTCATTTCCTCAGCTCCTTCTCCTGCCTGCCTAGCAGAGCTGTCAGGAGTGTGGATTGAAACAATGGGTATGAAAGAGTCTTAGTAGGGAAAGGGGAAGGGCATACAGAGGTGCTGATGTTAGCCACCCCAGGACAGCATTCCATGCTTTTCATTCTGAACAAGAGAATCTCAAAGTCAAAAGGCCCATAGAAGGCCAGGCGCAGTGGCTCACAACTGTAATCCCAGTACTTTGGGAGGCTGAGGAGGGTGAATCACTCAAGGTCAGGAGTTCAAGACCAGCCTAGCCGACATGGCGAAACCCGTCTCTACCAAAAATACAAAACAAATTAGCCGGATGTGGTGTCGTGCACCTGTAATCCCAGCTGCTCGGGAGGCTGATGTAGGAGAATCACTTAAACTTGGGAGGTAAAGTTGGCAGTAAGCCGAGATCGGACTACTGCACTCCAGCCTGGGCAACAGAGTGAGACTCCATCTCAAAAAGAGAGAGAGAGAAAGGCTATAGAAAATTTGAAAATGACAACCAGTACATGTGTCCCTATTTCTAATTGTATGCCTGTAACAGGCATCACCTAATCAATCACAGGATTTATGCCTGATGAGCTAACCAAATCATTGTGAACACATAGTAACTTCCGGCAATCAGAACTTCCACCAATCAGAACTGCTAAAAGAGGTGAAACTACTTTATGTCCTGTCCAATAATAGCTATTGAGCAGACAAGAGTACAGAGACCTGGTAGGGCAGATAGCCCAGGAGTGCTTCCCTCTTCTTCCCAACCCTGGCCAGTTGCTGATCCCAAAGATAACAGGGGAGGAAGTTTCAGCTGAGAAGATGGATCACACAGTGGCGGAGGTGAAGAACAGCCTGAAGCTCTTCGAGGAGTATTTTCTTCAGGACAAGATGTCCATTGCTGGGGACCAAATCTCACTGGCTGACTTGGTGGCCATGGTGGAGATGATGCAGGTGTGGGGAGGGGTGGAGGAGGGTTAGACCTTGGGCAGAAGTGGAACTCCTCTGTGACCAGCGGGGCCGTCACTTGAGGATAGGCTGGTGAAGCCGGGAAGGCAGGTGGAGCTGCCATAGGGGCTGTGGGAGCCAGGTCTGGGTGCCCGGACTCAATGTGGGGGCAACAGGAAGCACAGAATGTTATGAAACAGGAGGGATCACAATTCTCCACGCTTGACAAAGATTCTTCAGTGTGGGAGGAGCTGGAGGGTGAGCCTGAGATAGGGAAAAGGGCACTGCATTTCCTGGTCAGTCCACCAGGATCCCAGATGCCTCCTCCTCTTGCTGGACTCCCCAGGAAATGTTCACTGGCTTCCTGGCTGTCCTGGCCCTGCCTGTTTCCCAGAGCTCCAGACAGACAGCTGTGAAGGACAGCTCTCCTGGCTGGGTCTGAGCGGCATCCACTGTGCGTTTGGAGGCACACCTGGGTGTGGGGCATGTATGTGGCCTCTACATTCACGGGAGGGTGACCAGTTCTGCCTCTCCTGACGCTGGCCAGGGTCTACACTGGCCATCCTGCACACCAGCTAGGGCACTGCACACTCACCAAAGAGAGTGGCCAGAGCTATGCCCAGGAGGAGGCATCCGGGATCCTGGTGGATTGACCAGGAAACGCAGTTTTCTTTTCCCTATCCCAGAGATCTCTGACTGATATGCAAATTAGTCTCTTCGATCTGTTTGCAGTGCAGATCAGCATGAGAAAAAGTCATTCTGGCCTCCCCCAAGGGTTCAGTCATAGGCTTCGTCCCACACCCCTTACATTTCACCCACCACCTCACCCCTCTTGGGCTTCCCGAAGATCTTGCGTGCAAGCCAAGTTACAGGGTAGACTGCCTTAGTGAGCCAGCCAAACTGCAGGGCAGACTGCCCGCCAGGTCTCCCATTCTAGCCCCTGTGCTTGATCACAGTGGGAGGTTAAACATGGGGAAAAAAACTGAGTTCTCCCCCTCATCCACATATACACACCTGGGATAAGGGGTTTCCCTGAAAGAAGGCAGGATTCATGGGAGGTCGCGGGCTGGAGAAGTAGAAGCTGCCTGGGTCAGGAGCCCTCTCAGTGTGGTTCAGAATTTGGAGTGAGAAGACCAGTGACCAAGGACCCTGGGGGATTCTGGATCCTCTATCCCCACCTACGTCTATTACATAGTCTGTGATGGCTTGCTCAGGCTTAGGGGACAGCAGCCTAATTCTTTGCAGAGGCTGATGGGGAGAGCCCCTGAGGCTGTGGGCAAGGACCCAGGTGGGGCTGGTCCCCAGGATGACCACCTCTTCCTCTTTGTATATCTATAGCCCATGGCAGCCAACTATAATGCCTTCCTGAACAGCTCTAAGGTAGCTGAGTGGCGCATGCGGGTGGAGCTGAGTATCGGCTCTGGCCTCTTTAGGGAGGCCCACAATCGACTAATGCAGTTGGCTGACTGGGACTTTTCAACATTGGATCCAGTGGTCAAGGAGAAAATCTGTGAGTTTCGGGAGAAGTACTTGTGATCCTAGGCGCAGTCCGTCCTGCAGGGCTTGGCTGGCTCAGCAATCTGAGCCACGCTCCTTAAAGGAAATGCTAAAAAAAAACAACAACTGTTCTTTGCCTAATAAAGAACTGGAACAACCATCACAGCTGCTGAGCAACAGACAGTTGGTGTATGGGTAGGGTCTGATGTGGGAGTGGGTGGTGGTCACAGATCCTTCCAGTTTCCCAGAAGAATTTTAAGAGTAAAGGGTTAAATATAGTTGCATTGTCAGTAATAATAGTTGGTGACTTCAAAACCCCACTTTCATTAATAGAAAAACTACAGAAGATCATCAAGGAAATAGAGGACTTGAAAAACACTGTAAACCAATTGCCCACAGTAGACACGAACAGAACTTTCCACCGGACAAGAGCAGAACAAGCATTCTTCTAAAGAGCATGTGGAATATTCTCCAGCATAGAGCGTATATTTGGTCATAGGTCTCAAATTTAAGAAGATTGAAATCATACAAAGTATGTTCTCTGGACACACTGGAATAAAGTTAAAAATCAGGATCTCGGATCCAAGATGGCCGACCACTAACAGCTCAGGATTATAGCTCCCAGTGAAAGCTCAGAGAACGAGACGACGCCACATCTTTAGACGAATTTTCGTCACTCACTGATTAGCCGATTCCCAGTGGAGGAGCCCCACGGGTCGCCAGCGCGACTCTTGTGGCCGCCGCAGCGGTTTTGCCGGCGTCTCCGCGCAGCAGCTCTTCACGCAGAGCCAACGGGACTGCTTCCCCTACTGACCAGAGTTTGGAGCTCCGGGAAGTCAGAGCCACTTGTTGCGGACTCAAGAGGGAAGCCAGACCAGAGATTTCCGGGCAGAAGAGCACCATCAGTCTTATCGCTGCTATTTAGGCTGCCACAGTGGGTTGCTCGGATCCCAGCATTGGGAATCAATAAGTCAGATGTCGACTCCGAAACCTAATTAGAAAGGCGGTTCATTTACAATGAAGGGAAAAAAACAGCCTAAGAAGGCCGAGTATACTCAAAATCAGAACCCGTCAGCAACGGAACAAGCCCTGATGGAAAAGGACTCATCAGCAACCGAACAAGCCCTGATGGAAAAGGACTCATCAGTAACGGAACAAGCCCTGATGGAAAAGGACTGTGTTCCATTATCTGAAGTAGGCTTTAAAAGGTGGATGATAAGAAACTTCTGGGAGTTAAAGGAACTTGTTCTAACCCAATGTAAAGAAACTAAGAACTTGGAAAAAAGGTTAGATGAAATGTTGAAAAGAATAGACAATATAGAGAGGAATACAAATGAACTTATGGAGTTGAAAAATACAACACGAGAACTTAGTGAAATATGTACAAGCTTAAACAGCCGAATGGATCAAGCAGAAGAAAGGGTATCAGAGGTCGAAGACCAACTTGATGAAACAAAACGACAAGACAAGAATAGAGAAAAAAGGATAAAAAGGAATGAGCAAAGTCTCCAAGCAATATGGGACTATGTGAAAAGACCTAATATACGCTTGATTGGTGTACCTGAATGTGACGGAGAGAATGAAGTCAAGCTGGAAAATACTCTCCAGGACATTATCCAGGAAAATTTTCCTAATTTAGCAAAGCAGGACACTATTCAACCCCAGGCAATACAGAGAACACCACAAAGATATTCCTCAAGAAGACCAACCCCAAGGCACATAATCGTTAGATTCATCAAGATCGAAACGAAGGAGAAAATATTAAGGGCAGCCAGAGAGAAAGATCAAGTTACCCATAAAGGCAAGCCTATTAGGCTTACAGCAGATCTCTCAATGGAAACCCTACAAGCTAGAAGAGAGTGGGGGCCAATATTCAATATACTTAATCAACAGAACTTTCAGCCCAGAATTTCATATCCTGCCAATTTAAGCTTTACATTTGAAGGAAAAATAAAATCTTTTAGGAACAAGCAAGTACTCAGAGATTTTATTACCACCAGGCCTGCTTTACAAGAACTTCTAAAAGAAGCATTATATACAGAAAGGAACAACCAGTATGACCCTTTCTAAAAATACACCAAAAAGTAAAGAGCATTAACATAAAGAAGAATTTTTATCAACGAAAGGACAAAATAGCCAGTTAATATCAAACAGCAGCAACCCTAAATTTAAATCGACCAAATCTCCCAATCAAAAAAAGATACAGACAAAAATCCAACGGTATATCCAAAGATATACATAGACTCAAAATAAAGGGTTGGAAAAAAAAAAAAAAAACCTACCAACCAAATGGAGAGCAAAAATAAATAAATAAGAAGCAGGAGTTGCAATTTTCACATTTGACAAAATAGATTTCAAAGCTACAAGGATACAAGGGTAAAAGGATTAATGTAATAATAAGAGATCTTAACACCCAGATACATAAGACCCATAATGAGATTTAGATTCAACGAGACAGAAAATTGATAACGATATCCGGGAGTGGAACTAAGATCCAGAACAAACAAACTCAATAGAGCTCTCCATTTTAAACACACAAAATATACATTATCCACAAAATCTAACGATATATCTAAAGATATACAAAGACTCAAAACAAGGGGATGGAAAAAAACCAACCAAATGGAGAGCAAAAATAAATAAATAAAAAGCAGGAGTTGCAATTCTCACACTTAATAAAATAGATTTCAAAGCTACAAGGATGCAAGGATAAAAGGATTAATGTAACAATAAGAGATCTTAACACCCAGTTACATAAGACACATAATGAGATTTAGATTCAACCAGACAACAAATTGATAACAATATCCAGGACTTGAACTCAGAGCCAGAACAAATAAACACAATAGAGGTCTCCATTTTAAACACATAAAATATGCATTAACCACTTTAAAAACTCAAAATATTGATCGGCCATTATTGAAACCCATTTTAGGAATGAAGTAATATTCCTTTTTCCCTCTTTTTCTTTTTTTCCCCTTCTTTTTCTCTTTTTCCCTCTAAAAAAAAAAAAAAAAACTAACGCCAATTGGACTGTTTATGGGGTTACCTCTCTTCAGGAAATGATCAAAATATTCTTTCTCCTGCCAGGCCAGCTTCTTTAGAACTGAAAGAAAATCCTTCTTTTCGACCACAGGGAGAGAGTAAACAGCCATTGCTACTTCACAAAGTTTGGGGAGTGGGAGATGGTTTTATTTTGGTTTTGGAAACTGGGTCTCCCTATATCACCCAGGCTGGTCTCAAACTCCTGGGTTCAAGTGATCCCCCAGCCTCAGCCTCCTGAGTAGCTAAAAAAAAAAAAAAAAAAAAAAAAAAAAAAAAAGAATGTTGATCTCTTTAAATGAGTTCTCAACCTTGGGAAAAAAAAAAGTTAAAAATCAAGAATAGAAGGAAAACTAGAAAATTCACAAGCATACAGAAATTAAAGAGCCCACTCTTAACAAATGGGTCAAAGAAGAAATCACGAGGGACATTAGAAAGTATCTTAAACAAATAAAAATGAAAACACAACATGCCAAAATTTACAGGATGCAGCAGCGGCAGTGCTGCGAGCAAAATTTATATCTGTAAGCATATAAATTAAAAAAGAGCAGCCTGGAATCAATAACCTAACCTTATACCTTAAGGAACTAGAAAAATAAGAGCAAACTAAACCCAACACCAATAGAAGAAAGGAAATAATAAAGATTAGAATGGAGGTAAATAGGAAATAGAGGAATAATAGAGAAAATAAAAAATTGGATCTTTGAAAAGATCAACAAAATTGATTAGAAGAGCTAAGTGAAAAAAATTAGGCTTAAATTATTCACCAAGAAAGTGGAGGCTGGGTGCAGTGGCTCATACCTGTAATCCCAGCACTTGGGGAAGCCGAGGCAGTAGGATCACTTGGGTCCAGGAGATTGAGAACAGCCTGGATAACACAGTGAGACTTTTTTATTAAAAAAAAAATTTTTTTTTAATTAGCTGGGTGTGGTGGTGTATGCCTGTAGTCCTAGCTAACTGGGTGGCTGAGGTGGAAGGATCACTCAAGTCCAGGGGTTCAAGGTTACATTGAGCTATGATTGCACCACTCACTCCAGCCTGGACAACATAGGAAAACCTTATCTCCAGCCTGGGCGACAGCGTGACCCTGTCTCAAAAAAAAAGAATGTGAGATACCATGGGGAAGGTGTGGCCCCGGGGTAGGGGCTGGGAGACTGGAAAGCAGCTGTTAGCGGTCCCATTGCTGCCCAGAGCAGACAGTGCCCTGTCCACCCTCATGAGCTCCTTGGCCTCCTTGGACAGGACTGACTACACATGAAAATGTGGGGACCCTTATTTTGAAATTGTTAAGAATCTCACGATGGCAACACCAAAGCTTTAAACCAAGTGCACGGCCCTTCCGAGTTGTAGACCCACGAGGCCGACAGACTGCCATTCACATCCTGGTATAGCCACTCCTCTTGAGTGTGGCTGGGGCCTGTGCTCTATTGCTTGGAAGCAAGGCTTATCCCGAAGCCTTATTTTCAGGGAGGTGGATTTGAGAGCTATTATCCCACCTCCTTGCTTGGTGCCCTGTGAATAAATCTTTTCTCTTTTGCAAAACTCGGGTCACGGTGATTAACTTACTGTGCATGGGCAGGACGGACCTGGTCCTGGCCAGTAACACCCGCAAGGCATTCTGGGAGTCTGCGCTGCCAAGGCAGCACTGAGCAATGGTTGGGAGTGGTCTGTCTAAATGACTTTTCTCTTTTTTCTAGGCTGGGCACGGTGGCTCATACCTGTAATCCCAGCATTTTGGGAGGCCAAGGCAGGCAGATCACTTGAGGGCAGGAGTTCAAGACCAGCCTGGCCAACATGGTAAAACCTTATCTCTACTAAAAATACAAACATTAGCTGAACATGGTGGCATACGCCTGAAATCCCAGCTACTTGGGTGGCTGAGGCACGAGAATTACTTGAGCCCGGGAGGCAGAGGTTGCAGTGAACCCTGAGATTGTGCTGCTGCACTACAGCCTGGGTAACAGAGACTCAGTCTCAAATAAACAAACAAAAAAACACTCTTTTATTTTTTTTCTATAACTAATACAGCCTCTTGTGAGTTGGTTGATGTGAGTCAGATCCAAAGAAAATGATAAATCCTGAAATGTGGACCGAATTAGTTGTTTTTTTTTTTTTTTAGACCAAGTTTCCCTCTTGTATCCCAAGCTGGAGTGCAATGGCGCAATCTCGGCTCACTGCAACCTCTGCCTCCCAGTCTCAAGCGATTCTCCTGCCTCAGACTCCTGAATGGCTGGGATTACAGGTTCATGCCACCAGTCCCAACTAATTTTTGT